CTCTCGACTTCTATCCAACTTTTCAAGCCTTTTTTCAACTGGATTACATTCTTCTGTCACAACCATGGTTTTTTTACCTTTCTTATGCTTCTTTATGCTAATTTTGTCACCGATTTCATTGCATCCCTTGTCGAGTTGTTCTTCTCGTTCTTTAATCATTAGTAAACTTACATCCAAAGCTTTTTGTTCTTCTTCCAAGAACTTCCACTGTTCCTCGTGCGAAGGGGCCAGTGAAGTATCGTTCATCTCAATTTGTTGTAGCACTTTTTCCTTGTTTTCTGGCGAATACGAAACAAGCCCATCATCCATTCTCGATCTCTTCCTTGCCTGTTCCCATTCTGGTCTTATCTGCTTCTCTAGCTCGTCTCTCTGTTTATATTTCCTGTGTAGTTCTCTTTCTGCTGAATCGCAAATTGCTTTCTGGGCTTCAAGTCTAGCCAAAAGAGCACTAGTTGCTGCTTGATTCAGCCTCACTTGTTCTTTATAGACAACGCTCCTGCAATACGAAAACAGTTCAAAATTCAATTTGTTGATTACAAATTCATTTCGAAACTCCTCCAAGATTGAAACAAATCGAGCAATGTATTAAAAACACTAGTTGTCACTAAACATTGAGCAAAATTTCAACTCCAATTCTGTTTCAAGTCAGTAGGCACTAAACTTATTTCTTATAATTTGATTTCTCCGTTTAGTCACCTTTTCCATTAGTGACCAAGATGAAATTTAGCTAGAGTTTTATCTCTCAGTATTGTATTTAACCTTCAAAAGTCTCAAGTTAGGTTGTTAATGATCTTACTGGTGCATGGCATCTCGAATCATCTTCTCTAACATTGCCCTGTAGGAAGTTTGTGCCTCAGCTAGCCGTCGACACTTTTCAGCCCGTCGTCTTCTCTTTATAAGCACTAACTCCAGGTCTTGGATGCTAGCTTTCTCCTCGTAAGTCTTCTGCTGCAATTCGAGGACTTCATTATCTAATTTCCTTATTTCTGCATGCATCTTTATTGTTTCTTCTCTCTGTTTCAATGAATCTCTAGCCATAACAATGGACTGATACGGGTTGCTCACCATATTCGGATCTTCATTTTCTTTCAAAAGAGGTTTCAATTTCCTTGCAGCTGAATAATCAAGTGAAAATGTGAACAGAGCAAACAATTATAGCATCTTTGGTAAGGGAGATTAGATTACGGGACAATCTAAAGAAAGAAGAAGATAAATTCTGTTCACTATTGTGCGGTCGAGTTCAATATAGTATACCAAACATGCAGTTAGAGCTTGGGGTATTTTGCTATATTCTTGAATTGTAATTGTGTTCTCTCTCTCTTTTTTTTTTTACTCTACTAACCTATGACTGGGGTACTTGATCGTGGTCTTCTACTTAAATCAGTTGATTTCAATGGAGCATCGAAAGATCCCCTGCGAGATAGTACAACAGCAGCCGGAGCCAAACCTAGTTTTTCTTTCGATTCCACGAAATGTTGAGGGAAAGCATGTGAATCAACTGTTTGTGAAGCATTCAGTTCTTCACTTTCACCTTCAGAAAATAACCATGAAAATGCCCTGTGCCTATACATACATAATATACACATTATGTATCATCATCAGTAACATCATCTCTTGTACATTCTTATATTTGCATTTAAGTTGAAAACTACCAACCTGAAATCTGAATTTGGAGAAGCAAAGATCGACATGAACTGATTAATTGAAATGCCCACTTGGAAATCCCACCATGGTATAAGAAATTCCAGTTTGTTATGCTTCTTCTTGTACACCTGCCATTGCAATATTCTTAAATTGCTTGGAACAGTCAAACCCCCTCCTGCAATTTTTTTTCAGGGAGAGCCCACAAGTTAAATTTCTTCCACATATATCTATTGAATGTATGGTAGGAAGATTCAAGAATACTACACAATATTAAGGAAGAACTACCAAACATGAATAGTTAATATCTCTTCATATGCTTTCATGACATGTTTAGAAGGGAAGATTGGATAGTACTAAATAGCTTCAAGAGATTAAAATAATTTAAAATTTTATTCGGTGCACATAGCGAAAAATCCCTTATAAGCAAAGACAACTAAGTAGTAATTACTTGAGCAAGGGAACCAGTGGTCAATATCCCATCCAAGAGGCGATGCTGAATCTGCATGATAGAATAGAACATTTCCATATGGATCTACTCGAAATATTTCTGGATCAAAACCAGCATTCCTGGAATTTCAAATTACAAGCAAGTGTTATAAAAACCTTATTTTTTGTATTTAAATCCTTACAGATTATTCATCTCTAAGAATAATATAGCAAAATGAAATTTGTTTACCCAAGATGATTGAGCTTTTTCCACAGAAGACTGATAAAAATCTTGGGTTTTGTTGTGGGTTTTGCTTTGTGATCAATGATTGGGAACATGTCATCTAATTCCTTTGCTCTAGAATCCTGTCACCACAAAAGGGTCAGAAGGCTATTCCGATAGAAAAGTAAGAGCTTATTGGCTTGAGCTTAAGAAAAAATATATTCTCTTATATACTGTGAAAATAAGAAACTTATTTGATTTTCACTATTAAAAACATTATTTAGTTCTAAGCATACTTTTTAGCTTAGCAAGCAAGCTCTAAGACTAAATGAGCATGTTTGGGAAGAGTTTATGACTGTCTAAATTATAAATAGATAGAAATGAGTGATAGGTAAGTTAAAATTATTTACTTTTATTTCCAAACATGTTTGAATTATCTGGTTTTAATCTTTCTTTTAATCAAGTACCTTTTTTTTACTGTCAAAATAAGAAACTATTAAATTTTCACTATTAAAAACATTACATAGTTTTAAGTATACTTTTTTTAGCTTAGCAACTATGCTCTAAGACTTAAGAGCATGTTTGGGAAGTGTTTATAACCGTTTAAATTATAAATAGATAAAAATGAGTGATAGAGAATATAATGTTATTTGTGAGTCTCTCAAAACATGGGATTAAAAGTAGTTTGAGTGTTTATAAACATGAGTCAAACATAAGCTTAGTTATATATACTTTTTCATCCTATTTTTCACATTTTGTGATCAGAAAACCCAATAAAAGGAGGATGGTTGCAGTAAATTATAAACTAAAACTTCATATTATTTTATGACCAAAATGAGAATGGATTAGGGTTATGAACTTATAATCTAGAGTATCATTAGGAGAAATAAGAATTCCCTTCGTCACGTGATCTATTCTTCATATGGATATATATAGGATCTCTGGAGCAAAACACATGATAAAAAGAAAAAAAATCTGCCCTTTAGAACCTAAAATTTATCAAGAGTTGGAAACAATTAAAATAGTGCATTTAACTACAGTATAGTGATACTACTACAACTCATTCAAGATTCAGCAAGAAAATTTTTCAAAACTTACATAGACCATTTGACTTGGTTGTATCGTCGAATTCTAAAGTTCTAAAACCAACCAAAATCGCAATGAATTAATGTTACCTCAAAACCCACGAAAAAGTTTATTTTCTTCAACAAAATGTAATTCTAAAACTCTTAAAACAGCAGAAAGAGTGAAGAGATTGATTGGTACCTCTTGGTTTGACAGAGAATATGGAGTGAAAGTAAAAGGAGGGCCATGGCTGAAGGACCTGAAACTCGGGTCTCCGCAGATCTTAGCATAGGCTTCCGGGTACCCGAGTGCTTGGTTCATTGACATTTCTTCGTCTGTGAACAGGCTGTCGTTCGCCATGAATAGAAATGTATATCAGCTTCTTCTTTGAAGAAATCTTGATATGTAGAGTGAAGTAGTTTTGAATAGAAAATTTTTAGACGCTTAACGGTCATTTCCATTTTTTTAAAAGATTTCATGTCGTTTTTTTTCAAATGGAAGATAGCGTAACGGCTAGATAAGCTTAGCCAACGACCCTCCTCAATCCTCATTAAAGCGTTAATACATGAAAAGACCAATTTGCCACTGGGAAGAAACCTGGTACTACGAAATAACATAGTGAGATCCTATCATATTATAATCTTTTTTCATTTTTTATTTTTGATATGATCCATTTTTGTCAACTCGACCACTAAAATGGTTGGATATAAATGATGGAAGAACCCTGCTTATACGCCTGTTTTTTTGGCTTGTTTTCAACCTTGGCAGTATTACTTTTCTGATGATGGAAATGTTGCACATGTATGTGTATGTGCTCCATTCTTCTTTTCTGGTTGACTTATGGTTAAAATGATAAAAATAAAAATTAATGAAAGTTCTTTTTCATTTTCTTTTCCTTTATTTTCTCAAATGTCAAAAAAAATTGCTTGATAAAGGGTAGTTCAGTCATTTTAAAACTAGATGAAATGAACACTCTATCAAACATAGGGATGGCAGTGGGGCGGGGCGGGGTGCCCCCA